TTTTCTCACTCCCCTGATAACTAGTCTCTCCAATTTAAAATATCATTTTGCGCCTAAGTCTAAAATGCGTACTTTACGCACAGGGAAATATGGTAAATGGTGCTCCTTAAATTAGAAATAATTAATTTCTTTTTGGCTAAATATATTGTATTGGAGGAAAAGAGGAGGAAAAGGCCTTTATGTCAAAAACAAGCTGAAATCTCAGCACCTGCGCAGTGAAAACCCCTCAAACTAAAACGTCTATATCTTCAAAATACTTTCTTGAAAATTAACCAACTTATTGGTGAATTATTATCATTTATATGGGTATTTATTATACTTTTTATATCTCTCAAACCAAATAAACTGTTGTTGAAACGACCACAGGAAAAAAAAATAGCAAGATCTTTTTTCAGTAGAAATTAGGACTAATTGCTGTTTCAGCAAATTAAAGATTTCGCCAATTTAGTTTGAAAAAAAAAAATACAAATTACGCTAAAAGAAACACCAATGATTTCTAGGAGGCAGGTGCGCCACCGTGAAATAAAGAAAAAAAAAGTCTTTTTCTGTTGTTTCCCAACTTTCACATCCTCCATATCAGTTCTGCAAAAACGCACTTTGTCAACCTTTGATCTTTATCAACATCCACAATAAATCCATGAATAGCAAAGAAAAGGCAGGAAGTCGTTTCAGTAAACAAAGCGCGCCTGCCCAAATGCGTGACTGCGTTTTGCCCCGCGTGTTTCCGACTGTAGTAGCAGCTCTAATAGGAAAGGAAACATTGCAGCTGCACAGATACACTGCAGGGGCGTGTTGTGTTTCCATAAGCAGGTGCTATTACAGATTGGACGGGCGATTAGGGCGGTTTTATTGACATTTTTGGCACGTAGAGTATAAACTGCCACTTTAGAGGCAGTAAACTATTCAGAGAGGAGGACAAAGCGCTGGGTAATCTGAAGCCAGATCTCCCCTCTTTTTTTTTTAAATTGTAGGGAGAGTGTATTTGCTGCGATGCTGATTATTTCTGAACAGAGAGCAGGAAAGTTTATATCAACAGCTTAAAGCGAAGCGAACCTGGAAATGTAACAAAGTCTCCGACACTGCCATGGTTTGCTCAACCAAACGGAACAAGTGAACAAGTTGTTCCCCTTGGCCTCCGCCTTTCGCCCTTGCAAAAGCCAGCATGTGAGTGTATTTTACTAAAACAAAGGCTTGTCACTTGTGGCATCCATCTCGCTGTCAAGGGGAGGGAGGGAGGGCCCCCTTTACACCACCAACTCACTTTTTTT